GCCCCTAGAGTTTGGCACTTTGAACTCGGACTTAAAGCCTCCAAACTGTTAAGAGAATAAACTCCTGTTTGTTTAAGCTTCCCATTTGTGGTATTTTTCTGTTAGAGCAGCACAGAGGTAACCAAAACACATGCATTCTCATTTCTTAGCTCTGATACTTGAAGCCTAGCACATTAGATTCCCTGATTAAGGATAAAAACATTTGCAAGCAGAGGCAGGGTAGGAAAATGGTGAGGTCCTCAGACTAGAGTCAGACTATCAGGGTGTGAATTCCAGCTTACCACTTAGGAGCTATTTAACATACTTATGTTTTGGTCACCTCATCTGGGAAAAGGAGAATAAATAGTAGTACCTGCCTTACAGGGTTATTGTAAACATAAAGTGAGATCATTCATAGTTCATGTCATGTCCTTAGAAATGGGGCCAGCACTCAGTAAATATTAGTTAACACCAACGATATTAAGTACCTACTATGCTCCAGGCACTGTGCTAGGTGTTAGGTATATTATTTCTATTCCTCACGACAGCCCTTGTAATGCACCCACCCACTGCCATCAAGTCAATTCCGACTCATAGCAACTGTAGAACAGAGGAGAACTGGCCTATGGGGTTTCCAAGGCTGTCAATCTTTATGGAAGTAGGTTGCCTCATCTTCCTCTCCCGCAGAGTGACTCATGGGTTTGAACTGCCACCTTTTGGTTAGCAGCCCAGTGCTTTAACCACAGTGCCACCAGAGCTCCTAGCCTTTGCAAAGTCAGTATGATTTTCGTTTTGTGGATAAGGAAACAGATTCAGAGAAGGTAAGTAACCAGTCTAGGCTTAAGGTCATTGTGGAGGGCCAGGGCTCACACTAGGTCTGTCTCAAAGACTGCCTCTAAAAGTAATGTATTCACCTTAGAATTGTTTGATGAATAGAAAGAAAAATGGTGAAAATAGGTTTTCACCAGAAAATAAACTGCCTGAAATACCAAAACCAAACCCATGCTATTGAGTCAATTCAGACTCATAGCAACCCCTGCTGGGTTTCCAAGCTATAAATCTTTATGGAAGTAGGTCGCCTCATCTTCCTCCCGCAGAGGTGGGTTTGAAGCACCAACCTTCTGGTTAGCAGCCAAATGCCTTACCCGCTATGCCACCAGAGCTACTTACTGCCTTACATAAAAGCAATAAACATCCTTTCAGTAACCACTCTCAAAAACTAAATTTTATACTCAGAAATAACTCTTTTGTCCCCCACATCAAACCAAGATTAGTCTGTTTGAAACAAAATCTACTGTAGTCACCAGATTTAAATCCTGATGTTGTTGCTATCTAGGTCTGTGGGACCCTCATTTCATCATCTCTTAAAATAAAAATTTGGGCCACCAAGTATCATAGATCCTTTCCTGCTCTAAAATTTGTTTGTGTTGATCTAAAGGCATCTCCACAGGCAGGTGCTGCCCTCCAGAGGAGAAAATATCTTCGCAGATCCAAAGAAGGCATTAGAGCAGCAGTAGACTGAGGAGCTCTGGTGGTGTAGTGCCTAAGGCATTTGACTGCTAACTGTAAGGCTGGCAGTTCAAACCCCCCAGCCACTCCTCGGAAGGAAAGTTGGACAATTTACTACTTCTGTAGTGATACTGCCTCAGAAACCCAAGGAGGGGCCGACTCAACAGTAGTGAATTTGGTTTGGTTTGATTAGACTGTGGTAACAATACCCATTGCCTTCAAGTTGATTATGATTTATAGTGACCCTGTATAGTAGAACTGCCCCATAGGGTTTCAAGGCTGTAATATTTATGATATCAGACTGCTGCATCTTTTCCTGCAGAGCAGCTAGTGGGGTGGGTTCAGACTGCTGACCTTTCAGTTAGTAGTTGAGTGCTTCACTATTGTGCCACCAGTACTTTTTGGTGACAATAATAGCTGGTGTGTATTGTCTATGTGCCAGCCATAGCCCTGGACATTTTCCATATGTATTTCTATTCTGCAAGGCAAGTATTACCCATATTTTTAAACTCAAAATCAGAGTTTAAAAAGTTTAAGTGACTTGTCCTGGGTCACTTAACTAACAGAATTTGGTTTTGAGTGTGTGTTTTCAGCTCTGACCACAACCAGAATAGAAGTGTCTTGCATAAGGAAGCATTACGTTTGCAAATCCATCTTTCCAGCCAGAGCAGGGTAGGCTGCCCTTCTGCCTTTCTACCCCCAGTCCCCATGAAGCCCTGTGGTATAGTGGTTAATAACTCAGCTTCTGAAAGGTCAGCGGTTCTGCGGAAGAAAAGACCTGGTGATCTGCCTCTGTAGAGATTATAGTCTAGGAAACCCTATGGGGAAGTTCTGTTTTGTAGGGTCATTATGAGTTAGAATCAACTCGACAGCATACAACAGCAACTACCGTGCCCCAATGCCAAGGACCTTGATTTGATCCTCAGGGCCACCATGTAGCTCAGAACCACATGCACCTCTTCAGTTAATTAAAGTTGTTACTGCTTGTGATGGTTAATGTGTCAACTTGGCTAGGCTATGATTCTTAGTGGTTTGGCAGACATTATGCAATCATCTTCCATTTTGTGATCCAATATGGGCATCCAGTTTGTTGAGAGGGAAGTTTCCTTAGGGGTGTGCCTACCTTCAGTATGTAAATGGATGTCTGGCAAATCATTCTTTCTTGACCCTGTACTCTTCTCATCACCTGACCTCCAGTTCTTGGGATGTAAGCCTACAGAAGTCTTTGGCCTGCCACCTGACCTTTTTGGACCATTAGCCCCTGCAACCATGTGAACCAGCAGGGATCATCATTCTGCTGCCTGATCCCTGGATTTGGGACTTGCCAGCCCCAATTACATGAGCCATTTCACTGAAGTAACTCTCTCTCTATATATAGTTATATACACTTTACTGGTTTTACTCCTGTAGAGAACCCAGACTAAGAACTGCTCAAACATACAACTTACTCGATGAATTTGATAAAATGCGGAGTCTCATATCCATAGATTCACATTTAAAATCTGATGTGAGGTCCAGAAGTCTATACTTCTCAGAGATCCAAGTTAGTGGTGGAACCAAAACTCTCCATACGAATTTCATAGCCAAATGGCTCACTTCACAGCAATAATCTTTTAAATCCCTTTTCCCATTCCCACAAGCACTGCTGCACTTCAGCTCTTTACCATTTTTAACCTAATAACTTCCTGCCCCAGGTTTTACCCACACTTCCACTACCAGTTACTTTTCCAAAATGCAAATCTGGTTCATGTCATTCCCCAATTGAAAAGTATATTGCCTACCAAATGTTGTTTTCTATTTTTATAACAGTAAAAAAGAAAAAATCAATTTCCCACAGGACAAGGTCCATACTTTCGTTATTGTTTTCAAAGCTGTATGATCTGGCCTCTACTTATGCTTCCAGTCTTATCTCCATCATCATATTTTATTCACATCAATTCTTACAGTTCCTTCAAAACACTATGCTTTCCTTTTTCCTATATAACATGCTATTTATTTATATTTCATGGTCCATTATTAGATTTATCTCCACCCTGACACACTCGTGTGTGTATAAAACTGGCTCATAAAAATGTGTAACAAATTGATGGTTTAAAGAATGGTCAGATAGTATTCTGTCTTTGTACTTTGCACATGCTGGAATGCCCTTCCAGGTGTTAGTATGCACACTGAACTCATCACTTAGTGTCTTGGATTAAGTTTCACTTCCTCTAGAAAGCCTTCCCAGAGTCCCCTGAGAGGTATAATGCTTCCATTATACCTCCATTATGGCATTTTAGCTATACTGTATTTGCTTACATGTCTGTCTCCCCACTAGATAGGAGATGCTCAATATTATTATTAATCTCTCATTCTCCAACAACCAGCATAAAAGCTAGTTACACCAAAAGTGCTCAGTAAATAGGATAACCAGACAACCTGGTTTGCCTGGGAGAGGCCTGGTTTACACCTGTTGTCCTGGAGTAGTGAGGATAAGTGCCTGCTTTCACTTGTGAAAGTGTCCTAATTTAGATGACCGATTTTATGATCACCCTGTCAATAAATGCTGTGGAATGAAAAGATGAACTAATGGATGAAGAAAGATTTCAATTGATGATGACATCTAGGCAGAAAAAGCTGACATGAAAAGATTCTCAAGAAGTTAATAGCCAGCCACTGCACAACCTTCCTCCTCCAGAGGCACCCAGTATTTCAGGAGACAGAAGATGAGTTTGCACAGGCCAGATGCTCAATAACCTTTATTCCTAAGTAAGGTGAAAAATGTAAGCGTATTCCTACTTTGGGAAAACCTAATGTAAATGTGATCAGCATAGCAGAAATGATTAAATACTGCAAGTTTACTGTTTGATGAGAGCTAGATGGTAGAGGCATATAAAGAGTTGACCTAAGTACTTGCTGAAAATCAGAAATGGAGATTAAATACTCCTAAGATGATAACACAGTCAATGGGAAAATATGATTTAAAAAATTCAACATACTGTTTTTAAAACAATCACTCTTAATTGTGTGTGTGTGTATGTGTAAACATACCAGTCAGTTGCCCTTGCTTTTAGGAAAGATACAATTTCCTTGAATTTGACACTAATAAATAAAATAAAATTTATTTTAAAGTTTTTTTTGTTATTCAAGTAGAAAAAGCTGCTTTAAATTACTGTTAAACAAGTGGAAAGTGAGGTAATCCATCTTTTTGATAATCTTCTGTTCCAGCAGTGTCATCTTCTTTGAAAGTCAGGGGAACTACTAACTAGTTGCAGTCAAGCTGATTGAGACTCATGGTGACCCCCTGTGTGTCAGTAAAACTGTGCTCTGTAGGGTTTTCAGAAGTAGGTTTTTTGGAAGTAGATCACCAGGCTTTTCTTCTGACACACCTCTGGGTGAAGTTGAGCCTCCAACACTTGGTTAGCAGGTAACTACGTTAACCTTTGGAGCCACTGAAGGTAATTCCTTGTAAATAAGGCTTTTAATAAATTACAAATCCATAATAGATTCTTGTCCATCTTCTTTCTAACTACTTAATGCACTGTTGCATAGCAACAGTTTTTTGTTTTTTTTTCCTGCTGCTGCTTTGTTGGCAGTCTGAGAGTCTGAAATCTGCATTGGCTTAGTTGAGCTTGAGAATTTTTTTGGTACCAGGGATGCAAATATCCATTGTAGAAATCAGTAGCTGTTAGTGTTTTCTTGAGCATCAACGATCGAACACCAATCCAGCCATCCTAAAGGGCAAAACACAAATAATGAATAGGCAGTGGTGGCAAAACTGAAAAGCTAAGTAAATTTTAGTTTATAAACTTTATCATGAAAACAAATAAATGAGCCAATAATGTTACTAAATGCCTAGCTGCAAGTAACAATATACTAAATAACACATACACAGTTCCTTGACTACAGCTTATTACCAAGGAGAATTAACAAATGTATACAAAACCAAAACCAAACTCATTGCCATTGAGTCAAATCCAACTCACAGAGAACCCCATTGGGTTTCTGAGACTGTAAATCTTTGTGAAAGTAGACTGCCCCATCTTCCTCCTGCAGAGCAGCTGGTGGGTTTAACCACTGACCTTCTGGTTATCCAGTGCCAAATGCCTTATCCACTATGCCACCAGAGCTCCTTAGGAGTTCATCTAGATACCTTTATATGACTCTTTGTATTACTAAGCACAAGAGCCTATTAATTAAATTGGATTTCTTTTAAGAAAGGACTAAAGTCAAAAGTAATAATGTCTTGGCAAAAACCTCATCACTTCTAAAAAATTACGCTAGAAATTCTACAAATAATTTCTTAAGAAAATTAAAATGTCTACTGCCCTAATCTGATGAACAGACAGTTGGCTGAAGTCCTAATCAAGAAAACAAAAATGATACAAGCTATAAACTTAGTAAAACAAATATGATAATGCAAAACTAAAGGATAAGGTACCTTGCAACAAACCAGCAATGTCTGTGACTGTTTGTGGTATATTAGTGATCCTGGAATAACATTGTGTCCTGTTAATTTTGGACCTAAAAAATAAAGAGAGAAATAAGTAATTATGCAACTTCATGATAACTTCTTAAAAAACATTTTAGACACATTTATGGATGCCCTGACTTTGTAACCCAAGATTAAAGACTAAGCCAAGGTATTCTGTGACCATAATGAACACAAAGGAAAGTTTTCCATACACCCAAGAAGCTCTTAACTCTAGAACATTTTGAAGAAATACCTACCCACCAATGAAGAGAGAAACAGGACAGTTAGGTTCTAAGCCATCCCTTCCATCCATGACTGGACAAATCCAAATTCCTAGGACTACCACTGATTAGACCAACGCCCTCTGTGGTTCACACTCCTGAAGACCACCACATTGGGAGGGTACTAATGGTCCTTAGAAGGAACCTTGTGGCTGGTCTAGCCTGAAATGCCCCACACTGGCCTAAGATTCTCCCTAAGCTGCCCAGAGATTTTCATTATGACTGACATTCACAAAAATGAAATTAAACAAGTCATTGTGTACTCCCTGAAAACCTTAATGTAGGAAAATCAGAGCTTGAAATGGATAATACTGCTCTACCTGATTAAATGAGGAAATACATGTGAATGGATACTGTAAACACTGAAACAACAAAGGAATGTAAAGTACTATCATTATTGAACTGAAACAAATTAAAACAATTCTTATTTCTAGTAAATATGGCCTAGAGTAAAACATACAGATTTTCAAATAGACTATAGTGAAAACATTTTCCATGTCGGCTATTCAAAGTTTAGTACCAGCAAGGATGGAACTGTTAACTTCTACCACATCAAGAAGTTTAATGGTATTATCCATCCAGAGTGTCTGCAATGGAATCTGCAAATAAAATTAAAGAAGGTATGAGGAGGAAATACACACAATCCCAAATCTTTCAACTACTTATGTGCCGTCAAGTTGGACCTGACTCATAGTGACCCCTCCTTGGGTTTGAGGCGGTATCACTACAGAAGTAGATTGCCCCATCTTCCTTCCGAGGAGTGGCTGGTGGGTTTGAACCACCAGCTTTCTGGATAGTAGTCAGGTGCCTTGGCCACTATGCTACCAGAGTTTCATGTTAATCCTAGTCTTTCTCCTCTCCCTATTACAGAGGAATTGGGAACTCAGTCTGTAAATTTTATAGAACATAAATGTGACCCTCTGCATCAATTTCTAGAATTTAGATCTTGTGTTATTTGTAAGTCAATGTTTCTATCTTTTTCAGTCTAATTAAAAATTTATGCTCATTATAAAAAATACAAACATTAAACCACTTAGGTTACAAAAAAAATCACAGAAATGAAAATATTCTTACTCTTATCATCAGAGGTTACCACAAATAAGTTTTATGTATTTTTCCCTGTAGTTTTTTGCTACCAATATTATTAGTACAAAATCAGAACATACTGTTTTATAAAGAGTTTTTTACTTAACCATAAAAACCAAGGAGAAATTTTCATACCAGCACACATTATTTCACCCTTTTTATCTGCTGCACAGTATTCTATGAGTACACTATACCGTTCTGACTATCCCATTTTATGAACATATTATAATTCATGCAACTAGTACCATCATAAGGAGCTCTGGTAGCATAGTGGCTAAAGCACTTGACTGCTAACCAGAAGGCTGGCGGTTCAAACCCACCAGCCACTCCCCGGAAGGAAGGTTGGGCAATCCTACTTCCGTAGTGATACTGCCTCGGAAACCCAAGGAGGGGTCGCTATGAGTCGGGGCCGACTCGACGGCACATAACAACAACAGTACCATCATGATGGATATCTCAGTTATTTTCAACTTCTTGCAGTGTGGTAATAAACCTTGTAAATGTATCTCTGAAAACTTTTATGACACACATATGGAAAGCCTAAATTAAAGAATATCAACATTTTATTGTTAACCTATCTTGAAAAGTTAAAAAAAATAATTAACATTCTATTGCTGTTTACTGTTAGTGAGGCTGAAGAGCTTGCCACATAACTTAATTTTATTTCTTTATAAACTGCCTAAGGGAGCTCTGGTAGCATAGTGCCTAAGGTACCTGACTGCTAACCAGAAGGCTGGCAGTTCAAACCCACCAGCCACTCCTCGGAACGTTGGGCAATCCACTTCCGTAGTGGTATCGCCTTGGAAACCCAAGGAGGGGTTGCCATGAGTCGGGTCCGACTTGACAGCACTTAACAATAAACTATTTATTCCTTTGCCTTTTTTTTTTTTTTTAAAGACTATATGCAAAAGCCTTTTATATATTTAGGAAATTAGTTCTTTAATCTTCATATTTATAATGGATATTTTTTCTACTTTGTTGGCCTTTAATCTTGGGTACAGTAATTTTTTCCCATGCATAAGTTTTTCATTTTTATACTTTGTGTTATACTTCATGTTATACTTTGTGATTGTCAGTTTGGCTGGGTCATGATTCTTAGTGGTTTGGAAGTTATGATGTAGTTATCTCCCATGAGATCTGATATAATGTAATTACCTCCATGATGAGATCTGCTATTAGCAGCCAGTCACTTGAAAAGGCACCTTCCTGAGGGTGTGGTCTGCTTCCAATGTATATGGACATCATGGCAAAGCTCCCTGGCTTTTTGCTTCATCTGGATTCTGCATCTGGCCCATCATCATATGACCTCTGGTTCTTTGGATTTAGCCAGCAGCCTACCATACTGCCTGCCAATCTTAGGATTATTACCTTCACAGCCTGAGCCAGCAACCTGCCATTTTACCTGCCGATCTTGGATTCGTCAGACTCTGCAGCCAGCAGCCAGCTGCTGCCAACCTTGGTTCGTCTGCAGCCCCTGCAGCTCCATTAGTCAGGAAGCCTCCAGCCTGACGTCTGACCCAAGGACTTGTAACTTGCCAGCCTCTACAACTGCATGAGCCATTTCCGTGAGATAAGTATCTCTCCATCTCTCTCTCTTTCTATATGTGCGCTTCAGTGGTTTTGCTTCTCTAGCAAACCCAGTCTCAAAACACAGTTACCAGTTTTTTCTCCCATGACTTCAGTGGTTCACAACATACTTAAAAAGATCTATCCTATACTTCATGATTATTAAATATTGTAAAATCATTCAGCTGTGGTTTTTCCATGCCTTATGTTTCATTTTTTACATTTAAATCATTGATTCATCTAGATTTCATTTTGATACTAAAACGTAGGATTTGAGGATTCTTCCCTCCCAAAGGCCTAGCCTGTTGCCAGTACTATTTACTGAATAACGTATCTCACTCTTCCCACCTGCTGTGAAATGGCACCTTTATTACTTAACAAATTTCTAATATAATTGAGACCCAAAAACTCGACTTAAATGTTTATAAACATTAACACACATCAGAAAATAAGTTCTCTCAAGTTTCTGAATTGAATACCTTTATTTTCAGAGTATAATTCAATCCCCTATTTCATAGACAAGGAAACTGTGGCCTGGGGAGATGCAGGTATTTCCCCAGTATCAGACACAGCTATTCAGTGGCAGAACTGGGATCAGAATCTGGGACTTGAAGCAATACTCAGTAATCATTCACTGAATAGCTACAGTAAGCCTTAATATCCTCCACATTGAAATGCAGTAATAATGCCTACAATTATAACAGGTTATAATCCTCAGTAAAGAACCTGACATACCATAGCTGTTCAACGGCATTTCCTCACTTACTCAGTAACAGAGGTGGGTCATTTAAAATCGCACATTTGATAGGTCCCAAGATTCAAACAACACAAGAGGCTATCAAAATGAAGGGAAAAAACCTCATAAATTTTCAAAGCACCAAGAATTTAACACAGGTATTTTTAATAAGCTGTTATATGTGGGTTTAAGAATTTGACTAAAAAGTTGGGCCAAGGCAAAAGGGCAAACTAGAAAAAGCACTGGATTAGGAGAAAGTTTTTTTTTTGTTGTTGTTAGGTGCCATTGAGTCGCTTCCGACTCATAGCGACCCCATGCATAGCAGAACGAAACACCGCCCGATCCCGCGCCAGCTCCATGATCCTTGCTATACTTGAGCCCATTGTTGCAGCAACCATGTCAATCCATCTCGTTGAAGGCCCTCCCCTCTTTCATTGACCCTCCACCTTACCTAACCAGGTAGCGTTAGAAAGTTTAGGTTCATTATTTAGTGACTGGGCAGCACTATGTTAGTCACCTCATTTCCATTTTCCCCATCTATGAAATGAGGATAATAAAACTTAGTTATTTGAAACAGCAAAATATATATTTGAAAGTGCTTTATGATTTCTAAGTCCCCTATAAAAATTTAAAGTTTAAAGACGATTTTAAAAATGCATTTAAGTAAGACTGGAAGAGAGGGAGGTTAAAACAGGACTTAGGAGATGGGACACTGTTGTAGCAATTCAGGTCATAAATGATGGTGGCAGTGGCATGGAAGTGGAGTGTGGCATGTAGGGATTAGTTAAAAAAAATGCATTTCAGGTTTCCTTAGTTTGAGGACAGTAGTAGTTTACTGGTAGAATTCTTGCTTTCCATCCCAGCCAGTGCACCTCCTGTCCAGACACCACAGCATGCTGCTATGCTGCTCAACAGATTTCAGCAGAGCTCCCAGACTAAGATGGACTAGGAAGAAAGGCCTGGCAATCTATTTCCAAAATTAGCCAATGGAAACCCTCTGGATCACAGAGCTTGGATCTTGTTCTGCATGGAGTTGCCATGAGTTGGGGGCTGACTCAAAAGCAACTGACAACAACAGGAAGCTTAGTTTAGGAGATTCATTCCTAAATAAGAATATTTAGAAAGTCAATCTACACACCCTCCAATACTTGGTAAAACTGCAATGTGAGTTCCAACTTACTATATTTCCAATGGCACGATAAAGTCTGAATATTTGCTCTGAAGTTTGTTCCTCCCATTTTATACAGCTGGTACCAGCAGAAATCTTAGGGGCTACAAGATAAAGTCAATAGCAAGAATGAATGTCAGGTTCAGTATCCATGAATTGATAATTATGGAAGCTGAAATAATAGGTACAAGAGAATCATTACATTGATCTCTCTACTTTTATGTAAGTTTGAAATTTTCCATAATATAAAGTAAAAATAAGTAAAAACAGTAACAAAAATATACAAGTATTAGAAGAAAACATTACTTTTTTTTATGACCTGTTAATAAAAAAAGTCTTTCTAATTATGACTCAAAATCCAGCAGTGTGATGAAAGGAATTCTTTTACTTGGTCTTTTGCCTCAGGTCTTTGGAAAAACAGCTTGAGAGATTTTTCTCCTATGCCTTAAGGAGTTATCTTTGCTCTAGTTTTCTACCCTGAACACTTTGTTAGTTCTATCCAGGTTGGCAACATTTCCTAGGTAAGCTGTGAAAACTTGATGTTTTGATACATTTTGTCCAGTCTGGGCTGTAGCCTACCCTGTGAATGGTACGTACCTTTTGGTGATTGGTCAATATACTATGCAAATGAAGTGACTATGGTTCACTAAGGGTTTTGGTCAGTTTGTGGCCCTGCTGGGAGGACCAGACCTTGGAATTGACAAGAAGTTTGCTTATACATGCAGCTAACTTCACTGTGGTTTCAGAAGGAAAGGAGAAAAGATAAGAGGCAAGAAGAGAGGAGAAAAAGAAGAGGTGGGGACCTTCCTCAAAGAGCTGTAACACTGGTCAAGGGCTGTAACACTGAAGACAGTGAAAAGCCTGGAAAAGGCTGTGGTAGAGCCAGCTGAGAAGAGGAGAGAGGTCTTATACTAAAGAAGAGAGGGATGTGGTCTCTACTTCCGGGGAGTCTTTCGTACTTTGCTTACATGCTTCTTCATCCTGATCCTGAGTTGAACCATTACTTCCTTAATAAACCACTTAACTCTAAGTATAGTCTGTGAGTTCTGTGTAGCTACTGCAACGAATTATCAAACCCAGCAGAGAATAGAGGGGGGATGGCTGGTGTCAGAAATGGTTAAAAAAAAAAGGAGAGTGGGGGTATACCTGACTTCTACCTCAGAGGAATCATCTGTGGGCTGCTGCTGATTCCCATTATCTTCCCCTGACTTAGAGGTCTGACAGCATCACATTATAAGAAACAATTAAAAAAGATTGATGTTACTTTGTAAAAATAAGCTTTTGCTTATCTTTTGCAAGACAAAGAGAAATGCCATAAGTCAAAAGATAAACGACAAACTGAAAGAAAATATTTGCAATTTACATCAGAGAGGGAAAATTTCCCTATTGTATAAAAAATTCCTAAACATTGAGAAGAAAAAGACCAAAAACCTGATAGAACAATAGGCAAAAGAGAGACAATTTCCAGAAAAAAATAAATAAAAACATAGGAAAAGCAGTTCTGGTGGTATAGTGCCTAAGGCATCTAACTGCTAACCAGAACGTTGGCAGTTCAAACCCACCAGCTGTTCCATGAAAGGAAGACAGGCAATCTACTTCCATAAAGATTTACCACCTTGGAGACCTGCTAGGGGTTGCTATGAGTCAGAATCGACTGACAGCAGTGGGTTTTCTGAGGTTTAAACATAGGAAAAAGCTCCTTAACCTCACTCACAGGAGTAATGTAAATTAAAACTCCAAGATGTAATTACCTACCTATTAGATTAAAGCAAAAAATCAATTCTGACTCACAGCGACCCTATAGGAGAAAGGAGAACTGCCCCATAAGGCTTCTGAGGCTGTAATCTTTACGGAAGCAGACTGCCACATCTTTCTCCCAGAGAGGTGCTGGTGCATTCGAACTGTGGCCCTTTCCGTTAGCAGCTGAGCACTTAACCACTCTGCCACCAGTACTCCTACCTATTAGATTGTTGTTGTTGTTATGTGCCGTTGAGTGAAATATGCGTAACATGATTCATTCTAGCATTATCTGAAATAGTAAAAGATTGAAAATGACCCAAATGTCCATCAATAAAGAATCTATCGAATAAATGATATATCTACACAACTAAGAACTTATTCTGTCATAAAAAAAGGAGGAAAATTTGTCCTTACTGATAGGAAGTGATCTCTAAGATACACTGCTAAGTGAAAAAAGGTACAAAAGAGTGCGTATTTTATGCCACCTTTTAGGAAAGGAAAAATTAGGTTCTATGTATTTTTGCTTATTTTGGCAAAAGGAAATACTGGAAGGCTAACTCAGAAACTAATTACCTCCAGAAGTTCTGAACACAGTACTCTGACTGTATACCCTTAGTAGGAGATACTGAAAGGACAAAAAACCTTCAGAAAAGTCTTAAATTGTACTCAGTAGTTTTATTAATAGTAATAATATTGGTATAATTTTGAATTATTTTATGTATAGCAAATAAGTAAATAAATAGGTTAATGTTAATAATTTTTTAAAAAGGATATTCAGTGTAAGAAAATATAAGAAGGAGGCGGGGCAAGATGGCGGACTAGGCAGAAGGATTGCACAGACCCTCTTCAACAAAGAAAAGGGAAACCAATTAACACAGACACAGAA